ATCAATGTAGCAATAATAATAATAATAATAATAATAATAATAATAATAATAATAATAATAATAATAGTACTTTTGAAATTACTCTCCAAATTCTAAACACCACTTCACTACACACAACTGCATAGTAAAATAATGACTATTTACTAACCACCACAGATTAGTAACCTCTAATGTTCTCATGACTATTTTGTTAAAACAAAAATATGCTTTGACAACTCACCAGTTTTATATCTCGCTGAATCATCACTACTAACTTGTAGGATGAAAGTTTCATTTTTTGATGAATCAATAAGCCTGATTTCCTCCATTTTTCGGTATAGCGCAACATTCGTGATGCAAAATCACCGAAAAATGGTAGGTTATGAACTTATCTGATAGAAGTGATCCACCAATTCATTTTGTCCACTAAACAATAGGGGAAGGGGTAACTGTCAATCACTTTGACCGAAAAGGAGGCAGTGATTGTCCAACAAAGAACGCATTCATTATGATTGTAATCAGCTCAATCACTTCAATCAGAACGAAAGAATATTATTATTGTTAGGTATCATAGCCATTCCTGGCGGGTGCACATCGTGATCCAATTTTAGAACCCAGAAAAAAGTTATCAAGACAATAGATAAATCTAGGAATAAATATAGTTACCTATTTTAAATTTAAATAATAAATATTGTTTTTATGCTTGAAACTGAAATATGTTGGGAAACAGGCACCATCTGATATGCATGAAGGATACCAACACTACAGGAATAGCCCTGCGTAGATATTATGTAGTTGTTCATTTGTAGAAGTGTGTAGAGTATGAAATCTAAAAAAAAAAAAATAGAAATCATGCCCTCACTCCTGATGATACTAATGTTGCATTACGTTGTAAGTGGGTCCTTCTTGCAAGTAGTAGGGGATGTACAAGGTTTAGGGAAAGGAACTGCAAGCAGGGTTGGGCGAAAGTTATGAATTAATTAGCAGTATATTTAGGAGAACTAATAAGAATGCGGGAGAGACAACTTTCACACGTCTGTAATTTTTTGAACTCGCTAGATCCCCTAGGTGCATTAGAGTTTCAGACCGCATACACATTAAAGGTGATTTGTGAAAATAACAGAACAACAAATTAATGCGCATGACATAATAGTTATTGCCAACTGTTGTATATTCCACGTTCAGTTAAACTGGGATTGCCTGTTCATATTAATTTGAGCTGAAGTTCAGGTGAACCACGAAGTTTGTACGAAATAACACATACAAAATTTCTCCAATTTGCATAAGTGTGGCTGAATTTCGATAATGCAGCATTGCATTTCTTTCCTGGAGGCTAGAGCTGGGTCGGCATGGGTATTACGTATCTTGAAAAGTGACATTATGTCGATTTTTTGACATTTTATTGATTTTTTGTGACAATATGTTTTTTTATACAAGATGTTAACATAACACTAGTTGATGGACACGTTGTGAACTCGCTTTGTAGTTGTACGTGTTGCCTAAACATCATGAGGCTTCAGTTATCAATGCTTGGCTCCGATGTGATGTAAAATCTGCTTCAGAGATAGCATTACTGGAGGTAACGGCAATGCATAGGTGTATACTGAGGATTTGTGTGCTAATAATATGTGTAGATGATAATTCAATTGGATTCTTGTCTCAAACACACTTGCTTGACATTTAAAGCTATAAATTAGTTGCGCATCCAGTTTTTCTTATCCATTTTGGAAAATACATATGCAAATTCGCTTAATTTCGAAAATAAGCGTGATACAAAATAATTATATTCACGGTACACTGTCAAATAGCAAGCCATATACATGCTAATAGTAATATTACACACAACGCAGGCGCGGTGGTGATTTCCCTTAATTCCTTTCAAAGTTTTGACAACACAAAAAACGTAAAAAATCGTAATTTATAACTTTGAACATAACCTGACTTGAGAAAGGACAACATATAAATAATCCGTCGGACACAGCTAATGCAGACCAATACACACAATCATCCAGATGCGATCTTACTATTCAACCAACTTTCTTCTCAGAGATGGAAACTATAGACCACTCGGCTTCACAAAACATATGCAACCAACAATGCCTGTAGTTGAGCCATTCTTCCATAGATGGACGCTCACAAAGATCCTAGTGAGCAAACTTAGAATGATTGTTTGCACCCTAAAAACTACCTAGTCTGCAAGATGACGTTTTATAGTTTTTTTGACGTTTTATAGGCTTTTTTACATAATACCCGTGCGGGTCTGAACGAGTCGTTCCAAAGGGATGATAGTGCAGATGGTATTGGAGGAATCTATTCCGATCACCTAGAAGACATCGATTTCAGTGGTTTCATTCCGATTCCGATTTCGAGTCCGATTTCGGTCGATTCAATTCCATTTTCTCGGTGGGGGTTGACTTGTGTCCTTTAAGAACTGATGGCGGCATTGCGTAGGAAGTGCAGTGTCAATCCGATTTTTTAAGATTTAATTGCTCCAATTGCTGAATTAGTGGTTTCCAAAGTTCGAAATACGTGTTGGGGCACCCTTTTCAGTATTCTCTTGACCATGTCGAATTGGGAGCCCTCTTGGGAAAAATTTCTGCAGGCGCCCATGAAGCGAGAAGGAGAGGAGGGTGGTTAGGGGTTGTGTACGTAAATCGGGGGGATCACGTTCCGCTTAATTGTGGCCTGGAGGGGGATTACGAGGCATGGAGGCGCAGTGCTGCCCAAAGAGGACTTCAAATCATCACGGAAAAGATAGGAAGATGACTTGTTCCTTTGATGAGAGTTAATCCGGGACTTTCTTGATGATCATCAGATGACAAAGTTTTTGTGTTTATACCGTTTGTGATCAAAACCTCTGAACATGAAGTTTCTTCAATTATTACTTTCTAATCAACCGAAAGTAGACTTCCAGTTACGCAGATTCAAATGAAGCCTTGCAAATTTTTTTGGTCATTCAGAATTATCGTTGTTATTTTTAATACATATTCAAGTAACTAGGCCTCCATTGAAACCATTTCAGGTTTTGAGATCATATGTCGCAACAGCTGAAAAATTACAACAAAATATATGTGCGGGAAATGAAGAAAATCAGTGTTAATATATCTAATAACGGATTTTGTCATGCCATAGACGACTTCCATATCTAGGTTGAAAAAGCTAAAATTAGGGAGTTCAACATTTTGAGTAGAGGAACTGCAGCATATTTGGAATACTGGTTTGTTTTTTGGAAATAAATTGCAAGATAAACGGGATAGCACAATAAGAAATGCATAAAATTATTGGGAAATTATTAAATTTTAATGATATAAACAAACAAACAAAACAAAAACCAGGAGACCCATCAAAATATTTATCAAAATGAAAAAACTCCAAAAGCGTATATTTACTTAGGGTGTAGGTAATTTGGAATAATATAGTATTCCAAGTTCACATCATCTTTTTTGGCAATTGTTTACACTTTTTCTAAGAAAGTAATAAATTTCTCAACTTTGTAACTGTTTTACAGTCTTTGGTAATTAATCTATTTAGCAAATAGCCTATAATTATCAATTATTAAGTACTCACGAATCAGTATTAAGCCTGAACTTATAGTTTAGTGTTCTTAGTTACTGTTCTTACAATAATCACAGATATAGACATGTAAACACCACAAGCAGCTTGAACCCAATTGGCGCATTAAGCACTGTACCTAGTCCAAAACATGACATTCTGTCACATTTTTAATTCTAAATATATTCACAAGATCAAAATAAAATTGTGAACTAACTAGGACAAATAATAGTTCAAATACTTGCAATGAATATTTTACGTTTCATAGTACATGATTATCAATGATTGCATTCTTACCAAAAAGGTTTTCAAAGCAGTCGTCTCGTTCCCGTGGTTTCGTGTGACTTACGACATTACATTCACGGCAAAAAAAGACAGATATCTTTTAAATTTATTTACATAACTAAGTATTAAAAGTTACCTATAGTTTGTTTTGACCCTTTGGTGAAGGGATCATCAGTTTTAGGTACTTTTTTATCTATAAAATTGGACACCTTAAGCATTTTCTAACACTACAGCAACTTAGAATAGTATATCACGCATTAATCGAAAGCCACATCAATTATGGTATACTAATTTGGGGATCTGCTAACAAGACTCATATAGATCAGCTGGAAAAAATCCAGAAACTGATACTCAAGACAGTATATAATCGACCAATGACTTACCCTAGCGATATGATCTATCTAGAAACTAAAATACTTGACATTCGACAAGCATGCTTTTTCAGATCGTCATAGAACAACACAAAAACAAAGTCGCTGTAGATTACACCACATATATAGTTATGACACAGGAAACAAACACAACTTACGAGTACCATTACCAGAAAAAAACATATTACAAAGATCATACCCATTCTTAGCTCCAAGATGTTATAATTTACTACCACCAGAAATAAAGAAGAACATTAATATAAGTAGATTCAAAACTGACGTAAAGAAATGGATACTATCAAAAATTCTTTCATATTGCGATTGATATAAAGAACAGCTATATAAAATAATGGAACAAGAAAATACGTAATTATGACAAATCTAATCCCTGACTGAGAAATAGACAAGATGCATCCTAATGTACTTACCAGCGCATAATCTCATAAAATCAATCGCTGTATCGTTTCTATAAATGTATTTTCTTTCTTTTGTGTGTTTGTGTATCGTATCACTAATAATTAAAACTTAGATTTTCCTTATTAGGATATTTGTCTATTCATATTTTTAGTTAATGTACGCACAAGGAATGTATGATCCTTTCTGTGGGTACTTTATTTATTCGAGAATTTTGTGTTACATGTTCATGCAGTTGTAATAGTGGATACCGAATAAATTATTATTATTATTATTTTCGGAATAAGAAATCTATCTAATTTAAGAATTAGCGTTGAATGATACAGTATCAGTCCCGTTGTTTTGGATTGTAAATATCGTAAAAATCTTGTTTTATTTGATTATTTCGCAACGTTTCAGTTCTGTTGATATCTAATTTTGAATGTGAGTTAAAATCGTCGGTGTCTGTGTTGCTTTTGCACCGAAAATCGGAATTTTGGTTCCCAAAACAATAGTGCAACTCAGGAATTTTTTTGTCACCTCGTCAGTGAAGACAGAACCTTCTGTGTGTGCGGTGTTGCGACGTTGAAGTAATATTCTGAGGTAACAGAATTTTATGTCGTGTTTCATGTGGGCAAATACGTTGGTCCAAAGATGGGAGGAACTGAGGATGATGGCGGAGACTCTTTGTGTAAAATATGCAAACACGAAGTAAAAGACAATGAACATGGTCTTTTATGTGAAGGAAAATGCCAATCTTGGTATCACATAACTTGTCTGGGTATTACTAGTCAGCTATATAAAAAAATGTATGGAGAAATTCTGAAGATCCTTATTTGGATGTGCCCTTCTTGTAAGAAACAGCTTAAGCAATTAATGGAACTGGAGACCTGTGCTGATAAGATGAAGACTCTTTGTGACAAATTTGCAAATATTGAAGGAAAAGTTAATAGCATATCCGAAAGTATGGAGAAGTCCTTTTCAAAGCCTACATATTCACAAGTTGCAATCTGTAACAAGCAGTTTTCCGTGGCAAAACCTGTAAATCTGCCCAACTTGATAATTAAGCCAAAAAACAAGCAAGATTTGCAAAAATCCAAGCAAGATATTGAAAAAATCAAACCAGTGGACATTGGAGTTAGAATTAATACTAAAAAGGAGCTATCAAATGGAAAAATCCTTCTAAAATTTCCATCGGAATCTGACATGGAGAAGATGAGAGATACTGCTACAAAAGTTTTAGGAAAAAATTACGAAATTATTCAAACTACGTTAAGGAATCCTCAGATAAGAATCCCTGGATTTGTACAGGATTGTAGTGAAAACACTGTAGAATCCATGATAAAGAAGCAAAATCCATTTATAGGTGAAGAACACTTTAAAGTCACATATATAAAATCTTTTAAAACAAAAAAATATAAGACTGTATATGCAGAGTGTTCCCCTAAGTTGTTTCACTTACTTATGGAAAGAAAGAAAATTTACATGGGATGGGAGAGATTTCCAGTATATGAAAATATAAGTATACTTAAGTGCTTTAAGTGTCAGCAGTTTAATCACAAATTTAATGACTGTCCCAACAAACCAGTCTGTTGCAATTGTGCTGGAGAACATGATACGAAAGAGTGTGTAAGCCGGAATCAAAAACCAAAGTGCAAAAATTGTGAAAGTGCAAATAAAAAATACTCAACAGGCTATGACATCTACCACAAGGCAAATGATGAGGAATGCTCTACATACAAATATCGTCTGGACAGTGCAAGATCGAGAATCAACTATGGCTGATCCTACAATTGAGCTTCTTGAGGACTTACCAGAGTCTGTAAATACTAGCTTAAGAGTGAGTCCGGGTGTTTTGATAGATAAGATAAATATAGTGGGAAAACTGATTAACATTTTACATATAAACATTAGAGGTTTAATCACAAACTTTAATAATTTGTTGGTATTCTTGGAAACTTACAATATTAATGATTACTGTGATATTGTGATTTTGACTGAATGTCATAAGTTAGAATCTTTTCGAAAGTTTGACATACCAGGTTATGTATCATATTACAACAGTGGTAACTATAATGCTTTTGATGGGGTTATTATCTACACAAAATTAAATTTGAATCCAATTTTTGTCAACTATAAACTACGGAATTCAGAAGTTACCATAACTAAAATTGCATTGTCTGTAAAAAATGTTACCTATACTATATTTGCTTTATATAGATCTCCATCTTCGAGTTTACATGAATTTTTGAATGACTTAAATATATTTTTTGAAACTAATGTTAGTAGTAATAGTAACATTGATATTTTTTTGGGTGATATTAATATTAATCTTCTAAGTAAGGATAATGTTGATGTAAACAGGTATCTTTCCATAATGTTCTCGCATGGGTTTGTTCCATTGTGTCAGGGGGTTACGAGGGAGGTGAGTGAAACCTGCCTCGACCATCTTTTCGTGCGCGACAAACTCAAAGCAGCCTCCAGAAAAATAGATAGCTATATTATAGAACATGACATAACTGACCATCTACCCCTCATGCTTCATGTTTCAGATGACTTCGCTGTAAACTCTACAGAATCTAACTGCCGAAATGTCTTTAAATGTATTGATATGAATAAATTGAAGCACTTAGCATCTGAGGTAGACTGGAACTACAGTTTGGTTTTTGATCAAGCAGAGGAAGCAACCAATTACCTTTTTAAAAATTAAGTAATATTATAGAAAAGTCAGAATTTGTTAAAAACACCCTGAATAATTATAAAAAGCTTAAACCGTGGATTACAAATGCAATAATTAAATCTATGAAAAACCGAGATAAGCTGAAAAGAGCCCTTAAGCTAAACCCGTCTCCAGCAGAGATATCGGAATACAAAGAATATAGAAACCGTCTTAATAAAATAATAAGATTTACAAAAAATGAGTACTATAAAAGTAAATTTAATCAAAGCTCGCATGATATCAAAAAGTTTATAAATTAGTTAAAGAGGTAACAAATGAAAGCCAAACAGAATGTCCTATAACTTACCTAAAGGATGAAAAAAATGACATGATTATTGATAAAAAGCAAATTGCTGATTTTGCAAATAACTTTTTTATAAATATTGGCAGAGAAATGTCAGATAAAATTGGGAACCCTCCCACACCTTTTCAATTTATAAATAGCCCTTCCTATTCAATGTATTTAAAACCGACCAACAGGAATGAAATTATTGAACATATAATGAGTTTAAAAAATAGTTGCTCTCCAGGATTAGATAAATTAACGACTAAAATAATCAAACAACTACATGTATATCTCTTGGATCCCTTAGTTCATATAATCAATCTGATTTTCAAAACGGGCAAAGTACCTAAACAATTTAAAATATCGGTTGTATCACCTATTCACAAAGCAGGAGATAAAGAATATATAAGTAATTATAGACCAATAAGTATAATCTCAAATTTAGCAAAGATATTTGAAAAATGCCTTAAGGTTAGATTGGTTGCATTCTTGGACTCAAATAAGTTGTTATCTGAGAATCAGTTTGGTTTTAGGCAAGGTTTAAGCACATCACATGCGGTTTATGAATTAGCGACTAACATAATGTATCATTTAAATAACGGTGATAAGTGCATCGCTTTGTTTTTGGATTTAGCAAAGGCATTTGACACGGTATCTCATCCTATGCTCCTCCAAGCACTGGAGGGACATGGAGTTAGGGGTGCTGTGTTAAGTGTATTTAGAGATTATTTAATGCATAGGATTCAGTGTGTCAGGATTGCGGACGTTCTAAGTGAACCTAAGACGGTTCAGCATGGAGTTCCACAGGGTACAGTACTTGGGCCAATTCTTTTTAATATATATGTAAATTACCTCTGCTGTCTTGCAGTTGATGGCGATGTAATTGCCTATGCTGACGACACTGTGGTGGTGTTTCATGGAGAGACATGGGAATCAACGGGTGAAAAATTGAAGACTGATTTTGCAAAAATTAAAAACCTTCTGGACACATTTAAATTAACTCTGAATATAAAAAAAACTCATTACATTGCCTTCTCTATAACCATGGCTAATAGACCAGCATTTAATCAAATTAAACTTGATAATATTGATGAGCCTTTGAAAGAAGTAAATGAAATTAAATATTTGGGGGTTGTTGTTGATAAGCACTTGAAGTGGGACCGACATATGCTGTATTTGAGCAAAAAAATTAGATTTTTCATTCATAAATTCTACGCTCTTCGTAATATACTGAACATTAAACTACTATTAATGATTTACAAAGCACTTGTGGTGCCACTATTGGTATATTGTATAATTGTGTGGGGTGGGATGTACGGTTCAAATCTTGGGCAGCTAAAAGTGGTGCAGAACCATATTGTAAGGATCATTCTAAAAAAACCTAGATTATATCCCACTATGCAACTTTATTCACAAGAAATAAACAATATTAAAATCTTATATATCCTTGCAGTATGTAGTTTTGTACATGCAAGTAAGAAATTAAATACAAATTATGTGTCCCACAATTATATGACCCGAGCAAACACCACTCATAACCTGAACGTCCCGCAGTCCAGGCGAGATTTAAATTTGCGTTTTGTGACATATCTTGCACCTAAATTTTACAATTTGATTCCTGCTAATATCAGGAATATTGGAAATAATAAAAAATTTAATATTTCGTTTAATATGTTCTGTTGGGAAAATCGTGAACAATTTATGCGTCTATTTTAAGTTGCTTTGAGGTAGATTGATCTGCCTATTTGTTCCATCTCTTTCTTTTTGATATTATTGTGACACTTTTTTTCTGTGATCTTAAGTTAAATCTATTACTTACAAAAATATGAAATTTTCTTTCATTTTGTGTATATTGTGTATCATGTTTTGTTTGTATAGTTGAGTGATTTTATACAAAAAATATATATTGCACGATATTTATCAATTAATTACTGTTTTGGTCTGTTTTTGCGCATACAAGTTTTTAAACTTAGGCGCTCATATATTATAGAGAAACCTTGTTTTTGTTTCGTTAATTTACATATATATATTATTTTTATATTGGTAAATTTTGGTTCTGCTGAATAAATGTGGTAGAGTTCAGGGCGTACTGTTCTCTCCAACAACTCAACTCAACTCAATCTGTATTCCAAAAGCTCAAAACTGTTAGACAATGGTCCGGAATAAAACTTTTTAAACATCTACATTGTCTATAAGTTTCAAATATCTATATTCCATTGGGAAACTTTGACGGGTACTTTTTTAATGGGTGTGGGTGGCAGATGATGACCCACTGAGAAACTGAGGAATCCCTGGTGAGGACGTGCAAGGGACCTCCAGATTATGGAATTCTGATTGGCTTTTATTCAAAGCAGAGAATATAGAACAACTACATTTCGCAGTCAGCAGTGCGGTTTCTAGATGATGATTCGAGTATTTTCTGAAATAAACT